TTGTACACATTCTAAAGCCCCTCTGATTTGGGGAAGATACAGCTTCCAGGTAGACGGAACCATGAAGTCTATGGGGTGGGGGCCGATGACAATGAGAAATGGAATTATTGAAAAGTCCCAATGATATTGACCTGCCGTATTTACCTCTGTGAGCTCCTGCAAACCTTGCAACGGAGCCTGAACCTATTGTAAAACTTTATATTCTCCTTTGGAATTCTTGACACATAAGCAATTACTACTTTCACTTAATAGATAAAATTTTTTCTTTAGAAAACTTCTTTCTATGTTTTAAACACCCTCATTTAATTCCTCACAATATGGGATATCTCTGCTCAGTACAGTGACCTTCACCCGCCTCCCCCAGTCCTGCTTTACTCTCCCCTCTCCTGAGTGTCTCATGTAGGTCTGCTTTCAAAGGTCAGGCCACTGTTGGTTTGCAGACCCATTAATGAGTATCTATTGTTCATGTTTGTGTTAAAATTGCAATGTTTTTTATAGACAGCCTCTCCCTGTGATCACACCCCTAAGTCATGCCAGTGTTACACATTTTTCTTTTGTTACCACCAGGTTCACATGAAAACTTAGGCTTGCAAACTGACTTGAAGCAGATAATTTTATGAATGCAATAAAGTATGTTTTTAAAGACAGGCTAAAGGATGCCAGTCAAATCAACACCACATGGCTGTCTGTTGGCTAACACTGGTATAGGAAAGGAAGCGCAGGAATTTTTATCACTGTATTTACACTTGAGCTTGAAAGAATGTGTAAATATCACAGGTACACTTTGAGATGCACACACATTCGCTCCATAATTTATAAAAAATTACAAAATGAGCTTAAAAGCCGTGACCAGTAGTTTACATGATAGATATTGATACTATTTCTGAACCCTGTCACCTTTCATTATACATTTGAATTCTTTTTCAGATCTGCATTTTTGATGGCAGCAATGCTGATCTTACCTGGAATTGGTAAATTACTACCTGAGAATGATTTTTGGAGCCTACAAAACTAAGGAACATATTCTGTGAAAACTAACTTACACATTTTTTCTTTGCTTCCACAAACCTTATTAAGCCATATGTCTTTAAATTAATGGGGGAAATGACATTCTAAGCCTTTCTGGAAATAAAATATGGAAACACATGCTAAAATATTTGCCTTAGACCCTTCATCCAAGGCATATTTTAGGCACATGTGTTTGTGCTCATCTTTCAACACTTCCTCGGATTTATTTATCCACATATTCTAAATCAAAACTGACATATTGCTTCCAACCCAGCTACATTCTGTCTCTGCTCTCACATTGCCCCAATCTTCATCCATTTGCCAGACTTACAGATGCAATTAAGCTTGAAAGGACCCAGACGTTCCTTGGGTCTTCTGGAAACAAGCAAGAACCATCAAAGAGAAGGTTCCCAGGTGAGAGATAAAATCGATTCCTTATAAAACTTAAGTCACAAATCTCAGTCCTCACACGTCCTTTTGTCCACTATTCCCACCTAGAACTATGCCAACTTTATTTAGCTTATCTCCAACTTTAATCTATTGCATCAAATATTTTATACACACTTGAAATTTACAGCTAATGTACTAAAAACAAATTTACTAACACCAAAATTTGATAAGCATTAATATTTTACAGTATCTTTTTCCTTATGTTATTTTTTTTTAATAAGTGAAACATCCCAGATGCAGTAGTTTACAATTCTTCAATAGTCAAATTCTCTATCTCCCTCTGCAGAGGTAACCACACCCTACAGGTGAATGTCCTCCCTGGTCATTTTAAAAATGTGTTTATCTCATATATAGCTCCATAAAAGATACATCATTATTTTGGTTGTTTATGGATGTTATGTAAAGAATAGCATACATACCTTCGGGGTTTTTTTTTTCTTTCATTCAATGTTAGGATTTTGAGATCCAAATAGTTCTAGTTTATTGTTTTATCTGCTAGATGCAGATTTGTGTGTGTGTGTGTGTGTATCTATATCTATATATGTATGTATATATACATATATATATAACTTGTTAGTCACTCTACTGATTAACTTTCCATTTCAACTATTGAAAGTGATTGTCTAATGAACATTCTTATGCAAGTCTTACTGAGTATTTGCAAGACTTTCTCCAGAATAAACATATAGAAGTGGAATTCTTGGTTCAGATGGACCATATATCTTAACATTTCCTCAGTTGATAAATTACTTTCCAAAATACTTTCAGAACAGTAACACCAGTATATACCCCAGTGATCAATGTACAAGTTTCCATTTCTCTTAAACACTGCCTTAAATTTTAGCAGTATTATCAAATCACTTAATATATAATAATATGATGCACATACAATGAAATGATATATTGTTGCTGTTTCATTTTTCTAATGAAGCCATTCTTTATCTGAGCAACTAATCCTTTTTATGTTATCTTCTAAGTTTCTACAATACCTGAGTCCTAAAACTAGTTTCTATTTCCGTCCAATTATCTGCTTATTTATCCCTGATATTTTTAATACCTTTTTCCAACTTTGCCACCTTCAATTCACTAAATTTTATTTATGATTTTTGCCCTTACGAGATTCATCTTTTTTGATGTTCATTTGATATGTAATTTTCCGAGGTAATCTGCAGACTAAAATCTTCTAGGATTATGGAAATTCCTCTTTATCTTTGTACTATCAATTTTTGTTTTACATAGTTTGTTCCATGTTATTAGGCATATGTATTTACATATTCAATTTCTAATGAATTAGCCCTTTCATTTTAAAAAATGATCTCTTTGATCTTTAGTGATTCCCTTTGTCTTAAAATTGTTTTTTCCCTGAAACTAATATTTCTACAATAGCCTCATTTCAAGTAGTAATTCTATGGCAAACTGCCGTTCATGTACTTTCTACTGCCCTCCATCATTACATTTTAGACCTATCTCTTATAAACAGCTTATAGCTGTTTTTTCAGCTTGTTCTCTCATTCGACTTGAACTTTTTCTCCTTTAGGTGACTTTTTCTCACCTAGGACCTCTTTTTTCTTTTTCTTTTCAATCCATGTGTATTTACAATTTGCCAATTCTTTAATAATTACCGTAGGAATAGAATATAAGTAAAGGTCCTAATGAGACATTTCACTGTATCTGAGGGCCCAAGTTTAGGGCAAGTTCTTCCCCCACAGAGTAACAATTTCTAATGAAGCTCATCCTGCTTGGACTGGAAGATACCAGGTGCTTTGTTTGTGAATCTCAAGGGAATGAGCAACTGGAGAAGTTCTACTGCTAACACAGAGAGCTATGCACAAACATATTTCTGCCCTGCATGCTATCAAAAAGAGCATTGATTTGGATGTTCAAGATCCTCCTTGCAAATGCAAATCTTCCTCAGTTATCTGTCATCCATCCAAACATTAATGAACAATGTGTTCCACGCACTGTGCTAGAAATAGTAACTATTCTGAACTTACTGCCCATCTTCCTGGAGATCACAGTCAACAGGGAAGGGAGAGGTAAACCAAATGCCCCAGGTCTCACCAGACTGACATTTTTTAAAAGTTAAGTACAATTTCTCATGAGCTCTATCCAAAAAGCCCAAATAAGTAAAACACCATGACTTTGCTGAATTTCTTTTTTTCTTTTTTCTTTCTTTTTTTTTTTTTTGGAAAATGATCACATGAAACTGTGAGGGTCACAGTGTCTGAGCCACACCTCTGCACGGTGATTCTCTTTCATGCCCCTGCCCTCACTGGCCCAGGTCTAACCCCCTGCACACACCGGCCTCACCAGCCTTCATCATAAACTGGGATGCCTATGATGCGTTCTATGTAAGCTGGTATTTTCTGCAATCCCTCGAAAATATTTCCCTTCCCTTTACATTCATGACTCCTACGTGAGTCAGGAAAGAGAAAAGACCACTTTGGAAGAGCTGTTATTTATCCTTGGTTACGCTTATAGCACCCTGTTCTGTGTCAGCAGAAAGCCTGGGACAAAGAGCAAAGTTCAGTTACGCTCAGAACTTAACTCAGAAGTCACTGGTATGCCTGTGTGTAATTATAATTATTAACAGAGCCTCCAAAAAATGTGGATTGCTTTCAAAAGGTAGAATATATGTGAAATTGCAAATAGTAAAAGGAGAAGAAATATTTAAGTTAATGATGGCCAAGAACTAGAGTCCCTCTGTCTTTGTTCCTGCCCCCTGTTAGGACAGCTGCACAGCTCAGAACCCTTCCTCTGCAGCAGCTAGAAACCAGAGAGAACTGAACTACTAGTAACAGCAAAAAGTCATGCCTGTGGCTGAGTCCAAATACTCATACATTAAACATGCATGCTCCTCAAACAACCGTGTGACAATCCATCAACAAAAAGTGCACATTAAACCACTAAGTAGTCCCCTATGAAGATTAGGGGTGGGTGGAGGCAGGAATGGCAAATAGGAATCCGAGGCATTAAAATATAATAAAAACAAGGCACTCTAATTCCTTCTTTCTCAACAGACGCCTAAGGCATGTACAGGCTTCTCTGGCCATATGGTGCCCTTGCCCTTTCCTATGGAACACCCCCTTCCCTGTTAGTCCCGCTTCTCTGCCTCCAAGACCCCCAATACCAAAAGCCATTCCTTTATCAGTCACTTCATGCATATCCTCCTCTCTTACCCACAACCCCTCCTTTCTCAAGTCCCCAGCCCTTCACCCTCCCCTTGCAGAGAGAACCCTTCTGTGAGACCCTAGCAGAACAGAAAACTAGCAAAACTAGTCTGGAAGCCCTTCATCTTGCCTGTCTGCATTCTTTCTCTTCTTTCTCACTCTCCCACCCTCCCTGTCTCTCTCTCTCCCTTTAAGGCACTTTGGCCAGCCCTGGAGCTCTGGGCTGCTCCTAAGTGGAGGCAGCAATCACTCCAGAGTGTCCATCTAAATCTCCTCCCCTGCGTCCTAGTCTCAAAGTCCAACTTGTGGCAAAGCAGTTGAAACCCTTGCTCCAACTTGCATCAGTCAGGATTTGTTTCCTACCTCAGAGAGATGACTCTAGCCTGGAGACATCTGCGGAGAGCTTTGCACCTGGAGACCTCCCCTTCCAGGATCCTCAAGGCACACTCTTCTTGGAGGTCCCGTGAGTGGAACCCTGGGGAAAAGGGGAGTCAGTGAGGGGTCAGCCGCAGGGAAAGGGCCGAGCTCTGTAATCTGTTGCCTGGGTTTCTAGAACACTAGATGTGATCTTAGAGACATGTCATCTCACGTAGCATTCTCACCTGTCGGTCCAATGCTCCCCCCGCCCCCGTCCCCACTTCTCTGGCCCAATATTTTGTGATGTCCTTCTCTTCCTGTAATGAAATCCATGGATAAGATCTGACATGCACCATGTCAAAATAAAAACAAGTGGTGGTCCTACCCCACAATTTCTCTCAGAGAAATGGAGGCTCAGAGCAGAATAATCTTTTATCCAAGATGGCGATCCAGAACTAGACTCTCCTCTCTCCCCAACAAGAACAGAAACCGAGGAGGGCTGGGGTAGCCAGACACGGTGGCTTCGTGCGCAGTCATCTGCGGCTGCGATGGTCACGTGTTCTCAAGCACCTGGCACAGAGAAGCCTGTCCCCTTCTCCCTCCCTCACGCGAATGTTAGTGGAATGAGCCACAGACCGTGGTTGTGCCCTGTGAATAGACCTAGAGGCAACCAGGTGACTTTCCCTTCACCATCAATTTTACCTTTGTTTTCTCCTCTTTACATCATCGCTCCTAGCTTCTTCCCCTCCGGCCCCCCCACCCCCGCAACAATTGCATTTCTTTGAAATTTAAGCACACCTGATGCCTTAAATACATCATCGTCAACCAAATATGCTAGTAAGTACTCTTACCCCATTTCACAGAGGAAATGGCAGAAGAATTAAGCAATGTGGTCGAAGTAGAAACAGCAGTAATAATTTAGGATTCAAAGCCAGGTCTTCCTGTCCCCAAAAGCATGTTATTCTACCAGCCCTTTTTCACTACCCTGCTGGGATTTCTCCTCCCCCAAACCCCCATCACAGCTGTGCTGCAGAACATCATGCAGCCCCCACATTTTCCAAGGAGCAGAACTGTACAGAATCTGTATAGGGGACACTGTGCTGAAAATGCCAGGTGTGGACAGAACTGGGGAAATTCCCCTCTCTGTCCTTCTCTCTGCTACCCCACCTCCTGGGGGTCATGGGGCTGGCTGGGGCGGTCACTGGGTGCTGAGATGGCAGGTGAGGCTTGGTGCCTGGAGAGTTTAACTCACTGGGGACTCCTTCACACAAAGAAATGTTCCTGGTGCCCTTCACTGGCTTTTCAGAAGTCTTTCTCCTTCTACTGTACCTGCTGGTACTTATTTACTCAAATACACCCTCCTTAAACACACCCTCCTTAAGAATCTGCTGTGTGCAAACCTTACATTCCATCCACCTGTTCTTGATCACCTACTATGCACCTGCACCGTGGACAGAGTCACAGTGAGCAAAGCAAAAGTCCTTTCTGTTCACTCCAGTGGGGGGGGGGGACCTGTTCACCCCAGTGGGGGGAGACCACAGAGACAGACAGACAAGTGCATAGGCAAAAAAAGACCCAGTAGAGATTCTTGCTGTGAGAATTGCAACCAGGGTGAGGAGAGAGAATGACTGATGGGAAGCGAGGTGGGGGTGTTAAAGGCTGGGAGGTTACCAGGTGTGGTGTGGTCAGAAATGCAAAAATAATTGCCTCCGAAGCCTTGTATTATACCTCCCATGTGTAATGTACGACGTGTGTGTACAACTGTTGATTCTAACAAGGTTCCACCATACACAAAGAGCTTGTTAGATAAATATCGTGAGGATGGGGGTCTGGGAGAAAGACTTGACTCAGTGAGCTCCAACACCATAGTCTTCACACCCCTCGTTCCTTTACATATCCTGTTTGGAACAATGTGTCATCGTGAAGCCAACAATATCATCATTCTCAGTGGGGGGCTTTTGGTTTTCACATATAGGTTCAGATCTTTGGGTTTCCGGGTGACTGTGATCTAAGACCTGTTGGTGGATCTCATGCAGAGGCAGGCAAAGGCCAGGATGGAATCATCGTCCTGACTTCTAAAGAAGCACGGTGGAGACACAAGCCTGGGGGCGTTGTCTCGTCCCTCTTCGCAGGCTCCTCTGCAGTGACCAGTGGAGTGTGACAGGCAGCGGGTGTCTGCGGGCCGCCCGGGCAGGGCGGGACTGCTCAAATTTGGCTTTGCCCTCCTGCCCGCTAGATCGGGAATGGGGTTCCGGGAGGTCACAAGATGTTCACACAACATCAAGACTTGCTCTGTTGCATAGGTTGAATCACAAACAGCAAGAGTGAGAAGCATTTTCTTTTCAGTCTAAAATAGTGGGGCAACGATCTCAGGGCACTCTTTTTTATTCCTTAAAGTTAAATTTTCATTAGAGTTAATGATGATTCACTTTATAGACTTTCTAAGGTGGGGTGTGCCCCTATCACAGCCCGCTCGCCCACGGGGTGGTGCTCTGGAGGGCACAAAAAGTCCCTTTCCAAGTTCCAAGAAACTTCCCAAGACTCCTGTAAAGCCTTTTCTGGAAAAAAAAAAAATTAATCAACCCTAAAGAGATGGCTCCTGCCTGCAGGGCCCCAGTCCTTGCTGCAGTCTGCAGAACTGATTAACCCAGATTTAACCCCCCAGAGGGCTGACCTCAGGGACAGCTGCCTCAAAAGTGCCCAAAGGACAGACTCACCAAACTGGGAAACAGGCAAAGTTCTTGCTCGTGGCTATCTGCAACTGGCCCTGGTTCACTCAAGGTGCATTTACTGGGAGGCTGAGGGGGGAGGGGCAGGAACAATCAGCCAAAGGGTGAGGAAGTGGGTGGGATTGGACAGGAATGGAAGTGGGTAGGCCTGCAGGAGCAGTCTGTACTATCAGGAAAAGCCTCTCAGGCCTGTCCAGGCAGTCATAGGGCCTGCAGCTATTTCTCCGTCCAGGTCTTTCTCTGGACTTCAGAGACCACAGAGACACCCAGTTCTGCCATCAGCATCTCAAAGCCATCTTCCCATCCCCTGGTGAGAGCCAGGCACCTGCTGTTAATATCAGGCAACTGCTCGCAGCTGGTGCCCCATGCTGAGACAGAAGTGCTCTAGCTTGGTCACGGCCTCCTCGGTAGCTCCTGCAGACTGTCTGCAGTTGAGAAGGAATAAGATCCTGTCATTGGCCTGGGGCTGGCAGCTGCCGCTCAGTGGGGAGCGGCTGAAAAAAGATTTCCTCCGGAACAACCACTGCCCCGCTCTCACCCACACCTCAACTTAGTCTCAGCAGGCCTCCATGGAGAGGACATCGCAAGCCCTCACCTGACCGGCCAGGCAGTCTCAAAAGCAAAGGCCTCACATGGCGCCTGCACTCCCTCAGCTCTGAGGTGAATGCTAAGATCTTCCTTTCCTCATTCCTCGGCTGAGCATCAAATGAGATATCCCTGAAGTGTCCAATGAGATACCCCTAGTTACAAGATTTTCTAAAGTTACCTATGCTATGCAAGAATAAGGCAGAAAATTAGCACTTTAAGCCCTTCCTGGTGGTGCAGTGGGTTAAAGCCCTACTCTAAGAAGCTAAAGTCACTTCTGCAAGAGTTCAATCCCCGCCTGCACCGGAGGTGACCCACATGGCACGGCAGACCTCTCCTGACCCGCCCGCTGTTCCCCTCAGCAGTGTACTTTGTTGATCTGCCTGTGCTGCTCCCCACTCTGTGTCTGGTGAAGCCTCTCACCACCCCTGCATCATTTGTTCTGTATGCACAAATAAATTTTTTAAAAATTAGCACTTTAATAAATCAATTAATTTTCTCTCAACTGTGATCATTATGTATTTTCAAATATTTTATAAACTTTATTAATAGTGGAAAGAGTAAGGGAAGCCCAGGGTAAATACACTTTCTGTGCTTCAAGTTGGTTGTGAATAATAGAATAATCTCTCTCATTATCATTCATGAGAATTTTTCCTAGTGTTCAAATGTCCACAGAAATTGATTTCTCTCAACTGCCCTGCTGAACAGGTTTTTGTTTTTTGATAGTATGATTTTGGGAGTAAAGAACAAGGTTAAGGGACCTTGCCAATGAGAACTGAGCAGTTGCAAAATTAACGCAATTTTCCATGTGGCATTTATTATTCAGGCTGGTGTTTCTCTCCCACCTGAATGCCACCTCTAAATGTCTTGCGCTGTCCAGGTGAATTGAAGCAGAAAATGGATGAAAGTCAATAACTGTCTGTGTTTAATATCAGGCTGTAAAAAGGCAACACTAGACCACTTAAAGTGGTTTTTAAAAAAAGAAGAAGGGCCCTCCCTGGTGGCACAGCAGATTAAAGCACTGCACTAAGAAGCTAAAGCCACTTCGTCATGAGTTCGATCCCCGCCTGCCCCGGAGGTGACCACATGGCGCGGCAGACCTCTCCTGACCCGCCCACTGCTCCCCTCAGCAGTGTACTTTAACTGTTGGTCTGTTCTGCTCCCCACTCTGTCTCTGGTGAAGCCTTTCACCACCCCTGCACATCTGGCCTGTACCCCAGTTCTATATGCATAAATAAATAAATCTTTGAAGAAGAAGAAGAAGGAGAAGGAGAAGGAGAAGAAAGGAACCAAAAGCTGCCTACCCAGAAGTAGATCTGGGGTTCAACTTTTGTAACCCTGCTCCCAGTTATCCCACCTCCCTCACCTTTGTTTCTGCTTCCCCCTTGCTTACACAGTCAGCTGCTTGCGAGCGAACAGTGTACACACACCATGTCCAAGAGTCAAGAGAGAGCTTAGTAATCCTGAGCGCTTAAGTCAGCCTCAAAACATAGACTGCTTTAACTAAGGAATACAGGCAACCATCTTGGCATTAAGATTTAAATTTTTGTCCAGGATATAATGAAAAGCAAAGCTTTTTTTGCTTCTTTTTGTCTATCAATTATCACTGTGGGTTATTTTTATTACTTAGTTTGGGCTTAATGAGAAGGGAGCGATGAACTACAATAGACTTCTAGGTGTTATCTAGAGTTATTGTTTTCACTTATTGACTAGTTATTTTCCCTCCTTGCATATTTCTTCCTTCCTTCTTTTTATTTAAAGATTTTTTACTTATTTATGCATACAAGAACTGGGGTACAGGCCAGAGGTGAAGGGGGTGAGAGAATTCACCAGAGACAGAGTGGGGAGCAGAACAAGCAGATGTACTGAAACACATGCTGCTGCGGGGAGCAATGGGTGGGTCAGAAGAGGTCTGCTGTGCCACGTGGGTCATGTCCTGGCTGGGGATTGAACTTGTGCTGCAGTGACTGTGGAGAGCTTCATAATGCTGTGTTCTAACCCGTTGCACCACCAGGGAGGACCCTCTTACCTCCTTCTTTCCTAATCATAGAGTTTATATATTTCAATCGGAGCCCTCATTTCACCATCAAGTTCCTAGCAGTTTGTTGAAAGAAGCTATCGTGAATGAGTGAATGAATGAACAAACCTACCTTAACTGTTAACATTTTAAGCATTTCTTCATCAAATCCTTCTCTCCAACTCTTTCCCCCTTAACTCCTCTAACCTTGGAATCAAGAGCACTGACCGCATCCTCAATGGGAAGTTCCAATTTTGCAGATAGGAAAATAAGATTGAATAAGTGAAGGGAATTTGAATTCTTAGAAATACTCAGGATTTTTTCCATCCATCTTAGAAGGGTAACTACTATAAAGGGACACAATGAAAGCTTTTCAAAAGATGAAATTCTCAGAAAACTTAGGCTATCAATTTTTGGGTCATGTCCTTACATGAATAGCCAAAAGTCTTGTTTAAACGTAAGAACTAAGTAATGACATCAGCAATTATTTAGAGCAGAAAAGTAAATGAAATCTCTTTGAAAGGAACCATCATCATGGCTGTTACTTCTAGCTGCACTGAAAAGCGCAATCACTCGTTGTGTTTCTCGGGCTAGGACTTCACAGCCACACAAAACACCTGCATTTCATCCAGGGATTCAAACCCTCGTGCTGAATAAGAGCCACATTTCCTCAGTGCTCAGAGCCACTCTCCTATAAAGTTATCTCAGAACTGATCTTGAACCTTCAAAAATTAGCAGTATCTTTTCCCCAGAGTACCTGTTAGGTCTCTAGACACTTCTTTCAGTCTGACATTCTCTGATCCCATTATTCCATTCCGCTTCTATAGTGAGCTCAAACTCTGAGGGAGGGGAGAGCGAGAATGGCCGTCAATGAAGCAAAGCACCAGGCAGTGAGTCCAAGAACTTGCAGCTTCATCCTCACTCTGCAGAGAGCTGGCTGAGTGAGCCTAAGCAAAGGAAATTAGATTCATTTCCTCATCTACAAAATGAACATCGTGACTTATAAGACAAAGCCTGAAGGCCCCTTCTAGCTCCAAATGTTGAATGGCCCCTCTGGCTCAGTTTCTCTTTGCTTCACCATGGTCTTGTGTTGCCATGAGATTTGGGCGTCTTGTTTCCCAGCTCCTTTGTTCGTGACATCTGTTAACACAGAACATTGCCTAGCTCCTCTCCTCATTGCCTGCAACAGTAGCCACCAGTCCTTTACTGCCTTGTTTGCTGAGAACCCAGAGCTGGGAGTGGGCTAGGCACCAGGATTTGGCTCAACTCCAAGGAAGCACCCCACTAACAGGATGCACCCCCACAGCACACTGCACTGGCAGATGTTTGGTCAACAGAAAATAGAATCCCTGCCAACATGGAGGGAAGAGTTCCCTATATTCATGAAGGACCCTAGGGAAAGAATCATGACTACCCCAACTACCCCTTCCTCTCCTGACTAGATTCGAAAGAAGGTATATTTTGCTCTTTCCAGAAAATTTATTATGAAATACTAAGCTTTAAATCCAGGATGATTAATCCAAATTAAAGCCAGGATGATTCAAGTGAACTTCAAAAACTACAAAATAACAAAGGTGCCTAAGGTAACTGAGGTATCTGGAGGTGATTTTTACAAACGGGTGATGTGGTGTTTCATTGAGAATCCTAACCCATCTCACCTTTAGTAGGTGATTTCTGGACATCTGTAACCAAGCTTGGACTTCATACAAAACCCAAAATGCCTCCATGTGACTTTACACCAGAAAAATACCAGGTAAGAATCCACATTTTAGGAAAACTCAAAAGAGGTCTTTCTTCTTGTTTTCTCTGGAAGGACCCACAAATGACCCTACCTGACCCTAAGACCTCCCACCCCAGCCCAGCCTCTAAGTCACTGGGGGAGCGTCTGAACCTTCTTATTCATTTTAATACTGTTGCATGAACTGGGGTACATATGTGAGAGAGAGAAAAAAAAAGAGAAGAGGCTGAGTGACAAAACACAGAGAGAGAGCAAGAAGGAGAGAACCCGTGACAATATCTGATCACAGGGACATGCCCACAGATTCACACACATAGAAATACAGAGAGTTGCCCTTCACTATTGAATAAAACACTTATCTGAAGTAAATGTCTGAAGCAATGCTGGTCTAGTCTTGAAAGCAAAAAATTAAATGCTGATGCTATTTGTCATCACAGAGGTGATGACACAAATTTGCTCTAAATGCAGACAGTTTGCTTACAATTTTGCCTGTGTCATATGGCAATGCACGCCTGACTGTCCTAAGTCTGTCATCAAAGACAGCTAGTCAGGAAGGACCCACAATGAAAAGATGTATGGATTTAGCTTGGTAATTAAAGATATGAATAAACACCATCAGCATTTCATATTCTTCATTTTCAAGAAAATAAATATTGTTATTCTGTATCCTCTCCCTCCCCCTTTATCTCTTTTCTCCTCCCTCCCCCACTCCCTTCTCTCCTCATCACCTCCCCAATTCTTCTCCTTCCCCTTTTTCTTCTCCCTCCCCCGCAATCTCTCCTTACCTCCAGCCACCTTATTCTGTTTAATATTCTCAGGTTTGAAGTCACGGAATCCATAGCTAGTCAGGAAGGACCCACAATGAAAAGATGTATGGATTTAGCTTGGTAATTAAAGATATGAATAAACACCATCAGCATTTCATGTTCTTTATTTTCAAGAAAAATAAAGGCCCGGGTTCTACAGCTATTTATTTCCAATATTTATATTCACTGTATTAAAATGTAACAATGAGGGCCCTCCCCGGTGGCACAATGGGTTAAATAAAGCAAAGCACTATGAAGCCATCTGAAGCCACTGCAGCAGAAGTCCAATTCCCGGCCAGGGAGCTGACCCACATGACACAGCAGACCTCTCCTAACCCACCAGCTGTTCCCCTTAGTGATGTACTTCATAGATCTGCCTGTTCTGCTCCCCCATTCTCTGGTGAATGTTCTCACACCCGCACCTCTGGGGGTGTACCCTAGAAGAACTGTACCCCAGTTCTTGTGTGCATAAATAAATAAACCTTTTTTTAAAATGTAAAAATCAAGTCAAATGCAAGCTTTTCCACAGAGGTGAGAAAGTTCTGTACCCCAGTTCTTGTGTGCATAAATAAATAAACCTTTTTTTTTTTTTAAATGTAAAAATCAAGTCAAATGCAAGCTTTTCCACAGAGGTGAGAAAGTTCAGAGGTGAGAAATTTCCTCCACCTTCTTCATGTTGGACCTGGAAGGAGATCAAAGGCCGCATGGCCTGCAAGGAGGACCTGGACAAACACCCCCAGGGGCCTTTGCAGGAAGCGGCCCAGAGCTGCAGCAGCAGAGGCCAGACCCCAGGAGGCAGTGGGAAACACCCAGGTGAGGAGAGGAAAGGTTGGAAACACGTAACTCTTGTCTTTCCACAGTCACTTGCTTATAACCGCGTCCTGGAGACCCACGACAGACATCTCTCTCCGGTGTTGACAGCCTATTTTCCGAAACCTTTGTTGCTCCACCAGGGCCATATGGAGTGGCTCTTTGACCACGAGGGCAAGAGATACCTGGATTTCTTCTCTGGGATTGTCACCGTCAGTGTTGGGCACTGCCACCCGTGAGTATCCTTCAGAGCCAGGGGTTTTCACTCCACAAGACCAGGTGGGAAAGGCTAACCGGTCATGTCAATGATTCAGAAACCCAGCAAAATCCCTCTCCTTGTGTTGACCTTTATGGCGAATGTACTCATATTTCTTAGGTTCATGAGGAATTGAACGCTGCACATTTTCTTTTCGTAACAATGCCAGAGTCAGTCATTCTCATTGCTCATGCAAGGTGGCATCCACCAGTGCTTGGAGTGCTGTTGTGCTTCTCCTTGCTAGTGACAGCTTTCCAGAGGGAGGGAAAGAGGAAATGCAAGGGCAGAGTGCCTGGTGTGGGATGATGGGGGATGCGAGGTAACTGTTAGCACAAGGATCCTCTTGTCAACAGCTGAGTGATGAGTGGGGAGAGGATAAGAAGATGTAATCACAGCTAGACATGGACATTGGAAATGTAAGGTCCGAGAGCATGAGATTCTCTGAAACCTTCATCACCAACCCTGCTCACAGATGCCTGCAGAAGACCTTGCGCTTTTGGCTTCCAAGCAGCCATTTTGTTTTAATGCCAACCTCACTCGCCTCTAATAGTCGGGCTCATAAGGCATAGGAAGCCCTCCCAGGTGGCACAGCAGGTTGAAGAGCAGCACTACGAAGCTGGCCGCGGCTGCTTCATTTTGAGTTCCATCCCCAGCCCTGGAGGTGACCCACATTGCACAGGAGCCCTCTCCTGACCCGCCCGCTGCTCCCCTCAGCAGTGTACTTTGTCAATCTGCCTATTCTGCGCCCTGCTTTGTCTCTGGTGAACCCTCTCACTGCCCCTGCACCTCTGGCCTGTATCCCAGTACTGTATGCATAAATAATTAATTTTTTAAAAAAAAAAAGTCACATGAAGTGGGACAAAAAAAGGCAAACAAATCTAAATAAGTGAACTGATTTAGGTTCTCCTGTCAAAGAAGAAGCAGTGAGTCTTTTCTTAGCGTGAGTTGGACCCCTGGGGTCCAACCTACACCTTCTCCTCAGGTAGCTTTCTTCCTCCCCTTTCCCATCTTCAGGAGTCTAGTGAGGGATCCTGAAAACGTGCAAAATGAAGTTCACATGCAATTGAAAGCATAAGACAAAAAACGATAAAAGAAGAAAAAATGTACACATTCTTATTGAGTCCTCCCAATAATAGTCATCATTGTCCCGGGCAGTGGGCCACTGTCGCGGCTCTCATGACCGTTGGCCTCTTGTGTTGGCCTCCAAAGCCTGCAGTGGGCACCCCAGCTCCACAGCGTATGCTCTTCTCTCCACACTCCCTTCATCCCTTATTATTTTTCCTGTATGAATTTTCCCTCCAGAGAACCAGTCCCACCATTATCTCCCTTTCCTGGCCACTTAATGCCTCAGTCTCACCGGACAGTCACAAAACATTGGCCCAGACATGAAGACCCAGACACAGGCATTTTTTCCTTCAAAGGAAAACTGGTCTATCGTGCACTTGATGGGTCCATGACTCTTGAGAATAAAATGGGAAGACATCCAGGCTGAGCTCCAGTGACCTCCAAACCGGTGGAAGGTAGAAGAGACCCCTTGCAGACAGCTTCTTTTCTAGGACCCTCATGATCATTCCCTCTCCTCTTGAACACTTCTTTTGTGAGGAATTCGTTACCCTGGAAGCAACAAGGTGCACTGCAGGACTCTGGTGGTTGAAGAAGTTCTCTCGTGTGTGGCTGAATTCAGCCTCTTGAGACTCTTCAGAAACAGCCGTGGAGTTCGGGCGGGTGGGCAGTGTGCGGGGCGGGACCCGCGGCTGTCTGGCGGGTAACTCCGCTCTCTCTCGTTTACCCAGGAAAGTAAATGCAGAGGCACAGAAGCAGCTGGGCCGTCTGTGGCACACGAGTGCTGTCTTCTTCCACCCTGCTGCCCACGAATATGCAGAGAAGCTTTCAGCCCTTCTTCCTGAGCCGCTGAAGGTACAAGCTCCGTAGCAAAGGCGCCCTGCAGAGCAGCCCTGGGCCCGAACACAGCAGGGGCTTGAGCCTGTCACTGAGCAAGAGCCGCAGAAATGCTGCGCTAAGAACCACAGCTGAAGGCAAATCAAAGACCTCCGACTTGGGTGAAATAAGCCAGGGTTCCCCTTGATCCCTGCCTCCCGGGGTGCTCTTCTCACCAGGAGCTATCGAACTCGCTCAGCGGGAACCCCAGCCTGGCTTGCCCTCTCCTCTCTGTACCTCAAAGGTTTTCTTCTCACCCCACGGCCCCTCTGAAGAGTCCTTTGCGTTTCTTCTTCCACGGAGTCATGGTCTGGTTTGGGTTTTATAAAACGAACATCTCATTTATTTCATTTAATCTAAGGGCACTTAGATCTTTTTGGTAAATGACTTATTTTTCTGCATCTGAAATGATGCATTTTTCAAATCAAGCAAGTTGTTACAGTTTTGGCTGAGATGTACATTCAGCTACTCATATACAGGACTTAGGACAGTGCCCAGTCCCTGAGTTCACTATTTTTGTTTTTGTACTATATGATCTAGGTGCACCATGTACTGTCTTAGCCAGAAGAAACAAAAGGTTGGAATAGCACAAGCCTGCTCTGCCTGGGCACTTTGAGGGGAGAGGTGGTCAGCACAGCACGGGGGTGGCGGTCCCCAGAGCCTGAAGGATCAGCTCCTTACAATTCTCCCCTTTCTTTAGACCAGGATGGCTGCATCTTTGTTTGCTTGTATCAACATCCGCGCATCTTGGAGGCTGCCCTGCCCCAAACCTTCAGGACCAGTCGGGGTGGCTTAAGTTCAGCAGCGAGGAGACGATTGCTTGGATCCCCTCAATCACTGCCTTGCACATCCCTCCACCGGTCTCCCCATCTTAGTGTTTTGCGGGACCATCTCTCAGCTATCTTTGCATCTCTAGGGTTTAGCTGCTGCTCGGTGAAGAGTTGTCATTAATCTCGTAATTAAATGACAGATCTGTTGACCTGCGGGGAACTCTCCTTAGTCATTGGAAGACAGGAGACACAGTGATGGCAAATCTGAACCAAGCGGGTAACTCGAATTAAAGCAAGTGGCCTCTGGCCTTCCCTTTCCCTCCAGGTCATTTTCTTGACAAACAGCGGCTCCGAAGCCAACGACCTCGCCATGCTGATGGCCAGAGCACACTCAAATCGCATGGACATCATTTCTTTCAGGTAAGCACCCGGCAGCAGTCAGCTCTACAGCTGCTGTCTCACCCCCACATTAAACATGGGTCCGTCAACCCTGCACATAGTATGTCACTTACGGTCGCTTAAGTGGGGCGTGTCCAGGGGCATTTTTCTCATCTTAGGCTATAGAAAAGCATCCGCCCAGTGAATTTTATAACAGCCCCACCCTAATGGCATTGGTTCAAGGCGGTGTCCCTGATGCAGGTAACAACCTGAATTCCTCATTGTATCATAGGTCTTCCTGTAGAATTAGAAGAAGGTCACATGACATCTTTTTAACTATGAAGATATTGTTAGACTATAGCAAACACCACATGCTAAAGGGGTGGTCTGTTCCCAGAGAGTTCAGGACCCTAGGCCAGCGGGTCCATCTTAACCTCTCCTTATGAAAAGAAGCCATATTATTTCACTGGGCCATCTGTACCAGCTTGTCCCCTTTGATTCTCTTTCAGTTCAAGAGATGCCTGCCTAACCCTGTTTCTGCCTCTTCGGGTGTCTTTGAGAATCAATAATTATAAACCCTTCTATTAAAATTAGTTTAAAACCAGGTATTTTGCTTATAGTTGCCTCCCTTAGGTAACTTTATAGAGTATATTTGAACAGGCTCTTATAAGGCTCATGTAAAAGACAGGGGTGGTGTGGTACAAGCTGACAATGCAGAAGTAGTCCTACTTTTTTTCACCTGTCGGGCCATAATTTCCAAGTTCAAAAAAATCTGAGCTCCACAAAATGTGCTTACTGTTACATATTTAGTACTAAGCATAAAGAGCACGTGCAGTCACTCAGGTATAAGGAAGCATTTGCTATCAAAGGAATATGACAGTAAGAGTGGTGAGTGATGTTTTACCAAAATAAACACTCCAGAATATGTGTGCCCGGTATGTATTGATCTATGCAAAGCAGTCATAGTGGCACTAGGTTACAACACCAGTCTGTGGGTATCCTTTCGAGAACTATGACCGTCCTTTTGAATACCCTTCCTAGTCTTAAATCCTCATTGAAGGGTAATTTCATTGGAGAAATTGTCAAAGCTCACTTGAAGCCAAGACTGGGGATCAGGATGATTTATATTAAATATGACTGTCATGGGTCAAAAAATACTGAAACCTGTGTTTGTTATATGCAGAATAAAGTACTCAGAAGGCATCAGGAGTCCCCAGAGGTCAGTAGCTGCATTGTAGGGACAGACATTTGGCTTCCTGGGGTGACTACTTTACAGACTAATTATTCACTGAACATATTGCTTCTGGCATTTGGGAGGAGCTGAGCCTCACTACTTCAGAGTAACTGGGTAGGGCAGGTGCTAAAGCCGAGCGCTGGGCCAGAAGGCCACCAAAATCCCTGTAACAATTTCTAGGACACAGCCTAGGACACCGTAGAAGTGCTAAGTAAATTTCCCAAAATAGACTTAGAAGATTTCTTAGAAATCATTGGTGTTGCTTGTTAATGGTGTTCTGTTTCATTGTCACAGCTTTTACAGTTTTCTCCTTTGTCACGTCAGTGTTCCACAGGCCAGTGAACAAACAAAAATGAACCATCCCCTCCCCCTCAAAATACACATGCTGTTTGGTTTTGTTTTTCCTCTCCTCTCCAGAGGCGCCTACCATGGATGTAGTCCTTACACCCTCGGCTTGACCAATGTGGGACCCTACAAGATGGAACATCTCAGTGGAATGGGCTGCCAGTCAGTGAGTTTTGAAACTTCTGTTTTGTGTCTCTGATGGTTTCTGAGTACACGGAATAATCAATCAGAGTTTCTAGGTATCAAGATTAGCAACTAATATAAAGCCTATCATTTATGGGGGGTTCAATTTGACTTAATCAAAATGAAGATATTTCTTAGAAAGGTCTTCAAAGTCTGAGTAATAAATAATGATAGGGAATTTTATTTTCTTATATCTAAAATCAGGCAAATTGAAAATGAACACACTCAAATTAGTTCTCAGAGCCTTGAATGCATAAAATCTCTATAGTATCATCGTTACACTCACTTTCGGTTCTCACTTGCTAGTCCCACTTGAGAGCTTCAGGATCAGATCATCCTTAGATTAAGACCTAATCATCCTTATTCTTTCCACTGCCCTGATCACCAGGCCCTTGAGCAAGTTGTTCC